AAATATCACTCGTATCAAAGCCGGGGAAATTCCTTCAGGTGTTGGCATAACTTTATTTTAACAATGTTGCGAAAAAATTTAACATTCGTTGTTCGACGAAATCGTGAATGGACTACAATCTTATTTGGTTCTTATTAACGTAATTAATTCAAAACTATATTTTACTTCCCATCAGCTAAGATTAAATTAAAATCATAATCAAGTGAGATATATGTGAATAAACTCAAGCGAATACGCTAAATTTAATAGTTACATACCTAAAAAAATACGTATTTTCGATAAAAACTCAGTTAAACTTAAGGGCACTTTTTGTTCAAAGTTTTATTTCCATATTTATTTGGCGTGATTGTAGCCCGATTTCGTCTACAAGTATGTCAAATATAACACATAAATGTCAAAATAAGGTTAGCTACAAAATTTGGTTAAAATAGGTTAAGAATTTCACCTAAAGATGGCTGGTACCATGTCTATTTGTCGAATTTGTATACCGGTTCCTACGAAGTCTTTCTCTACCTATTATTTGTGAGCTTGAATGCTTCTGCCGTATTTATTTAGTAAGTTGTCGAACTTTAATTAGATTTCAGGATAAACGATATATGGGGAGTAGGCGGGGTTATAATCTGATTTCATCGATTTTTATACTATCAAAGAAGGTAACTAGAAGATTTGCCCTGATCAAATTTAGTTGACTTAGTGGTTTGGGAGATATGTACATTGAACCCATTAGAGGGCGGAACCACGGCTAATTTTTCGCACTGTAGATGTCCCTCCCCAATACGATTGGTTATACCAAATAACAGTCTAGTGTCTCATTGTGGAGCTTAGTTATGGTTATTAAAGGTTTTCGATTATTAGCATTTTGTAGGCGTGGCAATTGGATCACCCCTTATATTGAGATGATGTGCACAACGTCAACCAGAGGACCAGAACTCATTATATTAGGGGTATGAGGTTTGTACCAGGGGCTTAACCCATTCCATTAATATGAAGTGCTTAACAACATAATTCTCAAGAAAGCTTGTCCACTTAATTTCACTAAAATATCACACATTTTGATCAACACAAACGCTTTAAGATCAGCTGGAAAGTCGTAAATCACTATATAGGGTATATTGGGGGCAGAAAAGGTCTGGGTTGATTGCACAAACTTTTGACACCACTCAGGTATACTCGAGATCATATTTTCAAGCAATTTAATAAATATAAAACTGACCGACATGTTCGGCATAAGGTTTGTTAGAATAACGAAAATCATTATATGCATATAATATAATTTAACATATTTTCGGCATTAAACTATGTATATACTTTTATGTTATATAATATGTTCAAATAATTTTGCTAAGATATTTTACATATTGACCGATAAACACGATGCAAAGCCAACTGCAAATTTGAAAATTGTATATTAGGTATATGGAAGATAGAAGTAGTAGTATGATGTATCTTTGGTATCACTTCATATTGTTAACAAAAAACTACGTTTCTGAGTTTATTTAAGGTACCTTCCATACCGTCATCAATATATAAGGAGTAAAGTAAACCGGAGGTTTGAAAATCCTGATAATAGTTATATAAGGTCTAAGGCAAGTTTTAACTCGATTTTATTCATTTTAGGCACAAGGATGCCCCGTTCTGAGAGATATGAGTTTTAACCTAAATGTGGTCGGTGCCACATACCCAACGTCCAAATTTAACACCGGCTTCTACAAATTTTTTTCAAACTGCAGATTCAAACCTAATTCAATTTGTTATATCAAAAAAACGTCTTGTATCTTGTTGTATAAATTTAGTTATATAAATTTATTGGCTTTTGAGCAATGGCGTTTTGTGGGAGTGCCAATGGACCGATTTACAATACCAATGGTACAAATAAACATGTGTACAAAGATTTATCAAGATATCTTAATTTTTATTCAAATTAGAGCTTGCACCGACGGACAGACAGACAGTCACCCGGATTTCAACTCGTCTCTTTATCCTCATCATTTATATATACATAATTCTATACCTAACTCGATTAGTTTTAGGTGATACGCACAACAGTTAGGTGAACAAAACTATTATATTCTGTAGCAGCATGTTGCAAGAGTATAAGAATGTTGCGAAAGAATTCAACATTGGTTATTCGACAAAATCGTGAACGGATACAGTCAATTTGGTTTGTTATTAACTTATATTAAAGGTGATGGACTCACTTAGTTTTATTTATGTATTTAATCGCATCAATTGCATCATTGATGCAACGTTGAATCTCTCATTCAAAGCACGCATGGTTGTGGGCTTGTTGCAATAGACCTGTGATTTTAAATAACCCATGAAAAAAAATTTAATGGTGTTATATCATACGATCTAGTGGCCAATTCTGATCACCAAAACGACAGAGTATACTATCTGAAAATGTCTCATGCAGTAATTGAAGTGTTACACGGACTGTATGACATGTGGCACCGTCTGGTTGAAACCACATTTTGGCCACATCAATATCATCAAATTTCGGCAAAAAGAATTATGTCACGTTATCGAGTACCAGTAACAGTCACCTCATTTAAAAAAAATTATGCTCCAATTATACTTTCAGCACAAAATCCACACCGTCAAGCTTTAATTTTTTTGAAATATTGTTAAATAATGAAGACACATTGTTCTATCGTGCAACGTTCCATTTTTACTAAGCCAAAATTGTCAGCTGTCGATTTGTTTTTTATACTCTTGCAACATGTTGCTTCAGAGTATACCATAATAGTTTTGTTCACCTAACGGTTGTTTGTAACACCTAAGAGTAATGGAGATAGATATAAAGTTGTATATTATATATGGTGATCAGGATGACGAGACGAGTTGAAATCCGGTTGACTGTTTGTTCGTTCATACATCCGTGGAAGCTGGAACTTCAGTAAAAATTAAGATATCTGAATGAAACTTGGTATACATGTCCTTTGGCACCACAATAGGTTCGGTATTGTACAACGCCATTAAACGAAACCTTATAAATTGCCATAACTAAACCTCAAATTAGATACAAAACTGAAATTTTAAAACGGATCGCATTACGAAGGTTTAATGTATATATTTTCCAAACCAATTAAGTTGTATCAGTTAAACTTGCACAGGGCATATCCTTTCGACACTTCTTACGACAGTGTGAAATTAGGTGAAATCGGATGAAAACCGGGCGGGGTGCCACTTCCTATATAATAGATTTGTTAAATACTGCTACCAGATTACCGATAAATAACTATATATGTATATACATATAATTATAACTATAATTAAAATTCGGAGCGAATCCTTTCCTGATAATAGTATCCTTATATGTAAGTCAAAAATGGGATGAATCGAGTCATTATTTTCCTTAGCCCCCATATACCTAATAGAAAAAATTTTATAACTTCCAGCTGACTTAATACCGTTATATTTCAATAACGGGGGAACTTTGTGCCTAAAATCGGAAAATTTGCTCTATCCCACATATAACTAATTTTGGGAATTTCAAACATCCGATTGACTTTACTCCTTTTATATTGGTGTTGGTATGGAAGGTACTTTAATAAAACTCAGAGAGCATATTTTTTGGTTAATAATAAGTAGAAATGCCAAAAATAGCTAAAATCTGGTCAATACTACCCTAACTCCTTTGTACCTACTTGTAATATAAGATTTAAAAACTTACGATTGGCTTTATACCGTATATATAGGTCAATATGTAAGATATATTTACAAAATTAACTGAGGGTATAAGATTGGATATACTGTACTTTAATGGCGAAAATATATCGAATTGGTCTATGAATTACCCTAACTCCCATATGGTACATATGTAACACTTCACTTTCCAATCATTCAGAACGATTTTGTGGATTTCTTTTTTGTTTTCTGGTGTTACAGCCTTATTTGAACGAGCACTGTGTTTGCCATTATTGATGTATCTACGACCACGTTTGAAGTCAGCAAACCAACGTGTTAATGTGGTTTCTGACGGTGCGGAATCTTCATAACACTTTTCACACCATTGCTTCGCTTGAACGGTATTTTTTCCTATCAAGAAGCAGTGTAAAATTAAAACACGAAATTGTTTATCATCCATTGTTTTTAAAGTAGCGTCACTCTTAGCACAATAACTCGTAAATAAGCAGCAAACTAATGAATAGAATGTCATGGAATTATAACAGCTGTGTTTTGAAGGCTAGTACTAACTGAATGAAGTGAATTGAATAAAACTAGCGCCATCTCTGCGCGAGGCCCGGGACTTTTTAGCACATGTGTTAGATATGATGATTTTCGTAATTTTAACAAAATTTATGCTGAATATTTCAGTAAGTGTGTGAGTTCTTTACTTATAAAATTGCTTAAAAATATGTTCTCGACTATACCTGAGTAATGTCAAAGGTTAATGCAAGAAGCATTTTTATAATGCACTAGTCGAAATGTTGGTTTCCGCGGCACATTTTTCATTTAAAAAAAAGTAATATGAATTTTAATAACAAAAAAATGTGTGCCCTAAATTTCATCACAAACTGAAATACATATTACATATTATATTAAGCGCAAACCTATTCTGTTGAACCAAATTTGTAGTTACTTTTTAGCACACAGTAGTTGGCAATAAAATATGGTTCTATAAACAATTTGTAAATATAAGTAATACTGAGGAAAAATATAAAAAATTCATCCCAAGTTAGTGAATCAAATCGATAGAGCGGCAGTGTATAAGCAAGAATCACTAATCAGGCATAGTTTACCATAAATCATTTGAGTCAAAAAGTTCATATAAGGACGATTTTTAGGGGTTTTAGCGGTGCTAAATTATTGTATTAAGTATTAATTGTTTGTTCAAAGAAGACTTTGCAAATTTGTAATTGGTTGGTAGTACTTTGAGTAACAAAAATTAATTAGGTATTTAAAGACCATAGATATAATGTAGTTTACGAATATATGTGTGTAAATGTTTAGTCCAAATGTTTCAAATATATATATTTTTTAATTATTTGATTTTGCAGCCAACACGTTTAGTGTCACCAGCAAGCACTCTTCGAAAACGTCGAGGAAATAGTTTTGAAATAGCTACTTTGCTTTGTAGCATGCTAATTGGCGCAGGCTACCCTGCAATGGTAGTATCTGGGGTTGCGCGGGCAGAGACAGTTTTCAATGATCAACGTAATGTCCCATATCCACACCAAATCAAAGAGATCAAAACCGAAAAAAAGGAAAATGCAAAAGTCTGGGCGGGACAAAAATACAAACTACGTGCCATGCCGGATTTAGAAAGCCACCTAGAAGAAAATATTGTCGAAATGATGAAACAGAAAGAAGAAGACGAAAAACGATTGCGGCTAGAAGCAGAACGTTTAGAGTTAGAGGTACCATGCAAACTGCACTAATGTACTTAAAAATTTTATTTATGTGTACGTTTCCCTCGTCTTTATTTTGATTTATACATATATTCATATACTTATTGATTAGGAAATGGAATTGATTGCTGTAGATAGATATCACTTTAGACGGTCTCATGCCTGGGTCGTAATTGTTGATAACGCTCCTTGGAGTATCAAGCCAAAAAAAACATACGTGAACGACGAGGGTGACGAGGTCCTCGCGCCACCAAAAGCGCATTTTATTGAGCCTTCCACAGGCTTCATTTGTGATACCCATTGCAAGCAATACATTATTATTGATAGTGTATGGGATCACCAAAATTATTACGTGAACATGCAGAACTATCAAAGGGTCAGTGAACTACGCTGGAATTTACAAGATACCAAAGATTGGGAGCATATTCTCCCAGGAGAGCCGCCAGAAACGCGCTCGTTTACTGCCGGATCTGATGAAAACATCTCAGAAAGCGTAAGATTGATAGGGGAAGAAAAACATTTAGACACAATACGGTCATGGGTAGATAAACTGCATATTGGTCTGAGAGAATTCGAAGAAAGATTTCCACACTTACAAAAAACTATTAATTACGCTGGTGCGGTCCACGAACGATTTTCGCGATATTCTCAACACGATGGAAAATCTGAGCAATTAACTCTCTATAACGATGATGAGTATAAAGAACCAAGCATACGGTGGCAGTATTATGAAAATAGGTCAGATTTGCTCAAGCAAATAAAACTATTTTATGAAAACGGAAAAATAGAGGAAACATTTTTTAAAGGTCGACACGACAGCCTTCGGTGTAAGTTCTTTTGAAATATTCTGGTTTTGTGTTATATGAGAATTAAAATTATATGTAGTATTAAATGCTATATAAAGAATTTAATGTTTCTCTGGTTTTACTAACTTTAGGTAAATTTGAAAAAAAAAATTATGTATTTAGGTGGGCGCGTTTATTATCAGTTTTCACCTATTTTCGCAACAACACGAAATACTATAAAGAAATTTCTCGCTTGAAAAAGATTTCATACTTTGAAAAATATCTGAATTACACCTTACATACTAAACTAGCGTGATATAACAGAAAACAGAATAAGTATTTTCTGATTTCGACCATATTAAGATCCTTAAAATGTACTAAATGAGAACATTAAAAGTGCTATAAAATTATTAATATTAAAATTAAGATATAAAACTGTCTTTCGATAAGGGATCACAGGAGGGAGGGGCATTTGTTGACCGAAAACTTTTTTAAAGTGGTTTCCCCCCATAATAGGATAAATGTACATATGGATTAGGTCAAGTAAAATATTCGTTCGGTTTTTACCTAAGAGATGGCGCTAAAAACGTGTTTATTCGCGCTAAAAGTTTGTCTTTGACAGTTTTTCGATTGATTGACTCATTACGTTGTGAGCGCTCGTCAAAGATGGACACCAGCAAAGAGAAAATTCGCTATATTTTACAATTTTTCTTCGATCAAGGCGAAAAAGCAGCCAAAGCGACTGAAAAAATTAAGCGAACGTGTAGCACAACAGTGGTTTGCTAGGTTCCGTTCCCGTAATTTCGATGTCAAAGATGCACCACGCGTCGGGAGGCCTGTCGTCGAAAATTGCGATAAAATCATGGAAATAGTGGAAACAGACCGTCACGTGAGCACTTATTTAATTGCTGAGGAACTAAAGATAAGCCAGAAAACCGTTTGGAACTATTTGCATAACCTTGGATTTAAAAAGAAGCTCGATGTTTGGGTGCCACATGAACAAACGCAAAAAAACATGATGGACCGAATTTCCATCTGCGAATCACTGCTGAATCGCAACAAAATCGACCTGTTTCTGAATCGGATTGTAACTGGAGATGAAAGATGGGTCACTTACGACAACATCGAGCGCAAACGGTCGTGGTCAAAGCTCGGAGAAGTGGCCCAGACGGTGGCCAAGACCGGATGGACGACCAGGAAGGTTTTGCTGTGTGTTTGGTGGGATTGGCAAGGAATCATCTACTACGAGCTGCTCCCCTATGGCCAAACGCTCAATTCGGCCCTCTACTGCCAACAACTGGACCGCTTGAAGGCAGCACTCATCCAGAAGAGGCCATCTTTGATCAACAGAGGCCGAATTGTGTTCCATCAGGACAACGCCAGGTCACACACGTCTTTGGTGACGCGCCAGAAGCTCCGGGAGCTCGGATGGGAGGTCCTAATGTACCCATCTTATAGTCCGGACCTGGCACCAAGTGATTATCATCTTTTCCTGGCCAATGCAAACTTGCTTAATGGTGAGAAGTTTGCCTCAAGAGAGGCCTGTGAAAATTGGCTTGGAAGGGACATCAAGTTGGCAACAACTACAAACAAAACGGCGTATGTTTGACTTAAATCGGACAAATGTACAAAAAGTTATTATCTTTTGAAAAATCAATAAAAAACCGAACGAACATCTTACTTGACCTAATATAAAAGCATGTATGTATAACTCACAAATCACTACAGCTATTTCAGCAAAATTCCCACGAGACAGTTAAGTAACTTATCAAGCTCCCAACAATCCAATATGTGTACTAGCGGTGCATTGCGACAAAGAGTACACCTCATGCTTATAGCTCAAACAGTCATCGATATTCCCCCCTTCCGCACTTACCGCCCGTATCAAACCAAATTTGTCAAAAGTTATGCCTGTAGTGGCAACGCAGAAATCAGTTGTTCTCTTTTGTTTTCATTTCACCAATTTTGCCACTGTTCTATTTGTATACACGATTTTTCACACATTTAGTTTTTTAGTTATAATTTTCATAATTTAAAAGCTCAAAATTATAATAATACAAGTAAGGAAGGGCTAAGTTCGGATGTAATCGAACATTTCATACTCAAAATGGTAAACTCGTTTTAGATTTCTTTGTGAATCTTGCCGCCTTGTTCTATGTTGACCGATATTTTCGGTAAAAAATCAACAATAGGCACTGGGGTCCACATATTCAGTACCTAGAAATCTAAAACGAGTATACCATTTAACTTTGCGAGTGTATAAAATGTTCGTATACATCCAAACTTAGCGTTTCTTACTTGTTTATAGTAGGATTTATAACTAAAAACTAAATGTGTGCAAAATCATGTATACAAATTGAGTAATAGCACCAGCGGTGAAATGAAAACAAAAGAGAACAACTAATTTATACGTTGCCACTACGGGGATAACTTTTAACAACTTTTGTTTAATACGACAGTAAGTATGGAAGAGAGGATCGTAGGCGACTGTTTCCAGCATTACGCAGTTCTGCTAAGGTGACCCTTGCGATTATTCGTAATTCGAAAAACTCGTGGGTGTAATTTTTGATATCCGGGAATGGCGTTTGCGCCGTAATTACCCGGCTTTTCAATAGGGGGGATATGATTTCCTAGTGTCGCTTAATATGTCACGATCTGTAATTTTGTTTTCATTGTATTCAGTAATGTTTACAATTTCATCATGGAAAGATATACGCAAGAATAATGTTTACAAATTATTCAATTTTATTATGAAAATAATCATTCTCCAATTGCAACTTTTTGTGCGCTTGTCATTTTATGGTCGCTATGGTTTTGGTGAGTTGCGTGGTAAGTAAAAAAAAACTGTCGATTCTGGTGCGGAGAAGATCCACAAATTATTCATGAACAACCATTACATTCATCTAAACTGACAGTTTGACAGCGGTATAGATCGATGATAGACAACTTTTTATGACCGCAATTGAAAGAATTTGATCTGATTGACAAGACGGGGCTATGTGTCACACGGCCCGTACAACAAATAAAAAATGGCGAGAAAAGTTTGGAGATTCGGTAATTTCAAGAAATTGTGACATTCAATGGCCTCCAAGAAGTTGTGATTTAACACCATTATTCTATTTCTTAAGGGATTATTTGAAGACATTGGTCCTTAGCACTAAACGAGACTCTCTTCAAGCTTTAGAAGTCAATATCAAACGTGCTATTTATGACAACGACTTGATTTGGTGGAAATAGTAGTCGAAAATTGGGTTCATCGAATTCGTTCTTTTGAATGGCCTAATTGTATCGATTGTACTTCACATGAAATAACAAATAAAAATATTTGAATTTCCTTAAAAATTAGTGTTTTTTTTTGTTTTTTGTTAAAATCGACTCAGTTTTAGTGGACAACCCTCTACAATTTGTGTGGTTTTGAAAGAATTTGGCGGATTTATTCAACAAAAAAAAATTTTAGTATTGCAACAACGAAATTTTTTACATAAGCTCTTTGATATGTGGCTGCCGCCTTCAAAATAATCGAGAAGTTGGCTTCAAGACGACATTGGCCGGACAAGAAAATTTCGCTTTCGTGTCGTGCCGTCTAAATAACTGTGCCCATAATAAAGTGTGTATATTGTTAGGTTGGCCGTTATTTCCCTTCCGCTTTTTTGCTCTTCATTCAATGCTTTATAAAAAGTGTTACAGTGATCGGATTTAGTTAAAATATGCGCCGTTTTGTTCGATGATCTGTTTACATCTAGACGGCAACTTCATAATACCTTCCTCGTAGAAGCCCCCCTCCTTATTTGCGAAGAATTCGGACAGCCACTTTTCACAAGCCTCTTTTGAGTTCAACTTCACACTACCAAGGGCATTCGCCATGGACAGGAACAGGTGGTAATCACGTGGCGCTACGTCCGGGCTATATGGTGGATGCAACAAAACCTCCCATCCGAGCTCCCGTAGCTTCTGACGAGTCATCAACGAAGTGTGTGGTCTGGCGTTGTCCTGGTGGCTTCAAGCGGTCCAGTTGTTCGCAGTAGATGGTAGAATTAAGCGTCTGGCCATATGGGAGCAGCTCATAGTGGATGATTCCCTTCCAATCCCACCAAACACACAGCAAAACCTTCCTGGCCGTCAATCCCGGCTTGGCCACTGTTTGGGACGATTCATCGGCCATCGACCACGACCGTTTTCGCTTGATATTGTCATATGTGATCCATTTTTCGTCGCCAGTCACCATCCGCTTCAAGAATGGGACGAGTTCGTTCCGTTTCAGCAGCATATCGCAGGCGTTGATTCGGTCCAGAAGGTTTTTTTGCGTCAAATTATGCGGCACCCAAACATCAAACTTTTTTTTGTATCCAGCCTTCTGCAGATGGTTCAAAATGGTTTGGTGACTAACTCCCATCTCCTGGGCGATGTCACGAGATGCCATATGCCGGTCTAACTCGATGTATTTCATGATTTGATCGGTATTTGTCGTCACAGGTCTTCCGCCGGCTGGCTTATCCATGGTGTCGTTTTCACCGGCTCTGAATCGTCGAAACCATTTATCCGCGGTTCGAAGTGATAGAGTACCATCCCCCAAAACACCATTAATCTCACGGAACGTTTCTCTAGCGGATTTGCCTTTAACGAAGGAAAACTTTAAAATAGCGCGAATTTCGGCGTTAGTGAACTCCATGTTTACACGTCTATAACTGTTGAACGCAATATCCAAACTAATCATGCATAGCGTTGTTTTGTAGCGCTTTGTACATAGCCGCGAAATTCAAAAGACAAAAAAGCGGTAGGGAAATAACGGCCAACCTATATTTGACAGATGCTGCCTGTCGCTTGTCGTCAATATAATTAAAATAAGTGAAAAGGAGGCTACAGGGGACACAGTGGAGTCAAATATATGGAGGTACGTTACACAATCCGTGTGTTTACGTCGACGATCACTTACGCTCATTTAGCACATGCTAATAGCGCAAACAGTCACCGACATTCTGTGTGAAAAATCGTGTACACAAATAGAACAATGGCAAAATTGGTGAAATGAAAACAAAAGAGAA